TGGACATATTCTTTCAAATCAGCAAGATTCTGAAGTATTTATAAAAAGGAGACTACTAGTAGAGTTGAATTGCCAAAATAGCAAGCAAATGTGGTGCTTGTGGCACTTTTCAGGAAAAGAAAATGAGAAAAATAGTAAGCGTAGCAGAATACAAAACCGCAGGAAAAGAAGAATTAAGATATGCCTGAAAATATCATTCACTGCAGGCTGTATAATGTCAGAGGACAAAGAAAGCACGCGTTCAGGTTAATTGCAACTTAGCACAAAATTCATTACTAAATTGGTATTCATTTTCTAAGCATCCCAGCCAGGCATTTGTAGTGGGGCAGGGACCCCATTTCCCAGCCAGGAATGCATAGCGGGGCAATGACTTCAAAGATAGTTACAATCTGGAAAGAGACGGAGAATGGCACAGAGGTGATGCATTTGGCATCTCAACTAGTTTCTACTAACCTGACAAAGGGGAAGACCCCGAGGAGCAATTGGACAACTTCCGTCAGGAAAACACTAACACAATTGGAACTGTTTTCGAGTGCAACTGGTGGTTAGTTACACCAGAAGGCTCCCCGACAGGCGCAGGAGATGGCAGGGTGCCTCTTGCGGCTGCTCTGGTGGCTGCTAAACTTAGAAGGAGCAGCTCGCTACACATATGCTGATAGGATCCCTTTCATTGTATCATACGAGATTTTCTTTGATTGCTAAAAACAAACCATAGAAGAGTTCCCTCCTCCCCCCCCCCCCCGGAGTCATCAGAACGCCTCTACTCCTGCGGAATAACTTACCCAACTGCCTGCCCGAGGGGAGAAGTGTTCAGTCCGAGCCAAGTAGGCGGGGAATGCCTACCCAGTTACATGAGGAGCCAAGCAACGCGACGGAACTAGAAGCCGACAGTTCGATAACCCAACCAGTTCTGAGGGGTGGGGTTTCCNTTTCGAGTGCAACTGGTGGTTAGTTACACCAGAAGGCTCCCCGACAGGCGCAGGAGATGGCAGGGTGCCTCTTGCGGCTGCTCTGGTGGCTGCTAAACTTAGATGGAGCAGCTCGCTACACATATGCTGATAGGATCCCTTTCATTGTATCATACGAGATTTTCTTTGATTGCTAAAAACAAACCATAGAAGAGTTCCCCCCCCCCCCCCCCCCCGGAGTCATCAGAACGCCTCTACTCCTGCGGAATAACTTACCCAACTGCCTGCCCGAGGGGAGAAGTGTTCAGTCCGAGCCAAGTAGGCGGGGAATGCCTACCCAGTTACATGAGGAGCCAAGCAACGCGACGGAACTAGAAGCCGACAGTTCGATAACCCAACCAGTTCTGAGGGGTGGGGTTTCCACGACGTTCAAAGACAAAAAGATCCCGCGCAAATTGTTGCTAGGGACGCGCGACAAGCGGGTTCTGTTCGGTAGAGCGCGGAGGAAACTCATCCATTCAAATCTTGCCCGCATTCAAATCTTCTCTTTCCCAGGAAAAAGGGCAATATTCTTAACTATCCGTAGAGGGCTTATTATTTAATCTATTACAGCGTAAATAATAGTCGTGGCATTTTATAGTCTCAAAATATAGCTTAAACTATCGTGGAGCCTAATCCACTTTCTCTTAATAAAATTAAAAGAACCATATCATATTTTTCAAAAAAAATTACAACATTGATTTTTCTAGCCTTTCTAATAAAGACTCGAGATGTAATTGAGAATTTTTTCACTGGGAATTTTCTTCCAATAATAAATAGTTTAAAAGAACAAAAGCATCCATAAAAAAAAGTGGGAGGAAGGCTCCAAGTCAAACGCATTTCTTGGTGATTTTGTGAGCACATGATACAGCTTTCTTAGTAATAATTGGCAGGTTGTTTTCCATTACCTTTCTCCTTGAATCCCCCCCCCCAATTTAGTCAACATCCCTATACCCGATTATCTTTCACCTAAGTACACACTAGGCCGTCACTGCTTCATTCTGAACTCAGACAAATAATAATAATAATAATAATAATAATAATAATAATAATAATAATAATAATAATAATAATAATAATAATA